GCATATAAATTATGAATGAAAAAAATGAGCCAGAGTCATAAATATGGCTGGTATTGGAGCATGATATAATAACTTTGAAACATCCCATTATTTATCCAAAGTGGGCTCTCGACTTTGCGGATACGCGGCGATTATAAATCCGCTTGTGGTCATTTGAAATGCGGCTCTCGGTTGGCAGTCATTGCGATTGCTGCATAATTACAATTTTAGTTCGTGTTGCAGCAATGGCATTTATGTAGCCGTGGCAACGGCCACAATTTTCTTTGCTATTTCATTAAACTGCTCTTTGGCTAGCCAACACACGCCACAATCGCACAACTCAACATGCGGCATCCCATGCATGCAGCATTCTATATGCCACACACTGCTGCAGTTGCAGACAGCAAACTATTAAAGGCCACTTCAAAACGAAACCGCAGGCGGTCCAACCCACCAAAAACCCTTCGTCTGTCCGCCTGTCTTCCCGTCTGACTATCTGTCTGCCCCGCTACCTGGCTGATTGCTTAAAATTTCAGCTACGTGCGCGGTCTACGTGTGCGCCACACCTGCCCCAGTCGCTGTTTGGAATCGCAGTCAGTCACACAGACACACACACGCACACACACACACACACAGTCAGACAGTCGGAGACACACAGTCAGAAACAATGGCCAACTGGCGACCTACGTAATTTAATGTTTTATTTCTACACAGTTGGCCGCGCTGGCGTATACGTAATAACAGTCGGCACATGTCGAGCACGCGATGCCAACGTGCTGCGGCCTTCTAACCCGATGACGTTAACGGCAACAGCAACGGCCACGGTAACGGTAACACTAGCCCCCAACAAGTTTCCACGAACAGAGCTGAGCACGTGATTTGGGATCGTGATGCAGTAGTTCGTTTCACACATCCATTTAATATCAGGGCAAACAAGTCAAGTCAAACAAACTAAGCTCTGTAAAACATAACTAGTTTATGTAGGAGTAAAATGGTATTCAATTAATTGCTAAACAACCGTATTTAGTCTAGAATGTTGAATATTTAATATAATGCGAATTGTCTATATACATATACCTGAGGCTGTCACGTGACCATCTCGGACATTGTTAGAAAACTTTGGCAGACAAAAGTCAAAGTCCAAATTGGAGTTTTGTCGTCATCGTTGCTCCAAGTGTTTCCACACCTCCCGTGCACAATTAGAGTAATTAGTGTAACGTGCTTCTTCTTCTTGTGTTGCTGTTGTTGTTGTTGTTGTTGTTGGTACTGTTGCAGTGGTTGTTCTTGTTGTTGTTGCTGCTCTCGGCACACATAACATGCAAAGCCATTTTCATGTTTCACATGCACAAGTATTAAACCGCCAACACAATCAGTCGTTCATTTATTTTAGTACACCCTGTGCCCATAAAATTAGTTAAACCGAGTGGAATAAAGTTGTGTGCTGGCTAATAACAAGTAAAAAAATAAGTATATATATTTAGAATAAGCTTCATATGCCGAGCTAATCTCAGAGACCAAAAGAGCTAGAGATAAAAGGCAAAATATTCTATATAACTTTTAGTTTCCTCTACATATGAATTCTTTCACATAATTAATACAGCAATCATCAAGATTATCTGCCAACGCTACAGGGTATCTCATGGTTGGACGCGCCCGTTCAAAGCATATTTGTTTTATTTATTTTTTGTTGTCATCGCGTGTTTATCATCATCATCGTCATTGTTGTTGTTGTTGCTGTTGTTGTTGTTGTTGTTGATGTTGCTTTTGCTCTGATGGTTGTCGCATGTTTTTGTTGATTTAACTTGTGACATCGAATCACTGCCAAAGAGCTTGCCCTAATTTGACCCTAGCTAAGGCTCGGGCGATGTTATGCATTAAATTTGCAATAATCAAATATGTATCTTGTCGCACAATCAGAATATTTAATTAGTTCATTTATTTCTAGATTTGCCAGACAGTTGATTTGCATTTACCCATGGGAAATTTCTGTCACATCGTTCATCAATTCATCCTTAAATATATATGTACATAAAGATTGGCATTAAATAGAATAAAAAACGCAGAACTTAAAGCAAGTCCTGCGATAAGCTAATCAGTTCAGTGAATTGAAGTTGACATAAAAACTGCCAAATAAATTGCCAGATAGATTTCCACTTTCAGCATTGCAATTTCAATTAAAATCATTTCATAGTCATTGAACACGCATACAAACCGACAATAAACTCTACTTATTTTCACACCTAATTTACTTAACAAACGCATTAAATGAAATTCGTCTTTTGAACGGCTCAATTTTCGATGCTGGCAGGCCGGCCGAGCGTAACGAACAAACTGCAGCACTCAATGGTATCCGTGTTGGATCTAATTAGAAGCACAAAAGCGGCTTCTGTAATGCCAATGAGGCGATGCGATGCGATGCGATGAGCCTGGCCCGCATCTAAGCGCATTAAGTATGCGCCTCGTGCGCCAATTAAGTTGAGTCAGCGCCAACGTTGACTGCCGGCGTGGTTAGCTCCACATTTTTTCATCAAGCCGCTTACAATGCAATTAACCTTTTCGCTACGCAGCCGCTTAGCGTTTGTAAGTCTCTTAATCAGTGTGGATTTCAGGTATGGCTCCGAGTTGGACTTCAGGCACGTAGCAGACAATATAGAAATTCAAAAAGATTGCAATATAACATCATTAGACTTGATAATATAAATTATTTGCCTAAGGGCTGATTATATTAAAGCAAGAGACTTTCAAAATAGCATATTATAATGTAAATTAGAAAACTATGAATTCCCGTTTTGTATGGTCCACATCCTGAAACATTGATTTATTACTTACATTCGAATATCTACGCAATTTTGAATTCAAATAATGTGAATAAGCGCTTGTTGAAATGGCAATGCTTAAAATTTAAAGGAAAAATCTTTGGGCGGGCAAGGCCGGGTAATAGCCGCCATGTATGTTCTGCTACACCATAAGTAGACTTAGTCTGACACTTATGAAAACTTTCTCCAATCAGCCGCACATTTTTTTTTTTTTAATATAGCCTTACTCTGCGATTCTCATGAATTAATGTAAGATTCACAGGTTTTAATGCATTTATTAAGTGTTTTACTTACAATACGATGTAATGAACTGTATGTTAGTATATGTGTATGTATGTGTAAGTGTATGTATGTGTAAGTGTATGTTTGTATGTATATATGTATGAATTAAACTAACGAACCATATTATTCTGTTTTTTCAGGTATGTGCATATGTAAAAATAAAACTTTCTACTAGTTAATTGTATAGTATATGTGGATTTATATTTTTGCGTAAGTGCATATTTACTTTATTTTTTAACATATAAACAGGATTATATAATTATTAGGATTTTTCAATTCCGACCTGGGCACTGTTTATGTCCTACTCCTTAATAACTTTTTTTAAATTTGTCTTCTATAAATTTTAAAAACCCTAAAAAGATATTTAACGAGAAAAAAATGATATCTACGAAGATTTAATACCCTTGTAGACATTCGCCTTACTGTTTGCGGATATCTAAGAATCGTGAAGCTCGAACACGCTGAGTTTGATTGAAATATCTAGGAAAATATAATATTTTTCCATATAAGAACCTACTTTTCGACCGATCGTTTCTATGGCAGCTATATGATAGAGTGGTCCGTCCGATCCGCCTGGTTCCGAAGTACAGATGACCAACAGAAAGTTTCAAGACTGTAGACAGACTGTAGACAGACTGTAGACAGACTGTAGATAGACTGTATACACACTGTAGACAGACTGTAGACAGACTGCGGACAGACTTAAGGCAGACTGTAGACAGACTGAAGACAGACGGAAAGACGGACATGGCTATATCAACTCGACTCTTAATGCTGACCTAGAATATACTCTAACAAGTGGAGTCGGAGATGTTTTCTTCTATGCGTTACACATTAAATGTGTAAACCAAATTATAACACCCACTAAGGGTATAAAATCGATAATAATGAAATTGCTATCTATTTTGCGGCCATTAACAATTAATATAAGCCTTTTAAAATTTGATTTGAAATAAATGTTTTCTTTGACCATGGTCGTTTTCACAGAAATTGAGTACAACAAACCGAATGTCTCAAAATGAAAAATCTTTTTCAGTGCCTAAAATAAGATTAAAGAAAATAACATCAACAGATCGTTTGACAATTGCACAATTGGCCATGGTTAAAGCCTAACGGGCAGCCGAATTAAATCCGCATCAGGAACCTAGCAACACACAGCTGGCATGTGGATGTCGTCCGATTGCCGTCTGGCTGCTATGGCATTAAACTTCTAAGTATCATCCCAGATGATAGCTTGATAGACCAATTTGGGTGATGGAAAGGCTGGCCGTCGCTTTGCTGCTCGATGTAGGCCAAAGTCAATTGCAATTAGTAAATTCGAAAATTAAATCATATTGCAAAATCTATATTGGTCCTCGACGAGATCGTCAATTGGCCGTATTGCAATGCCAGAAGCCATTGGCCTGATTGAGTTTCCTTGCCTTAACATCTTTAGGCCATTTAACAAATTGGCCAACATTTTGTCACTGCAATTGGAAACTTGAGCTATGTACATGCATATGCGATAATTCTATTGTATGCATATACATCAGAATGAAATACATACATATGTACTCGTATGTACATCAATGTATGTATGTACATCTACATCAGAATGATATACATACATATGTACTTGTATTACCCATACACAAGTTTTCACCTACATATGTGCACATTTGCATACATGTGTACATATCTAAATATAGTATTTTTGTTGTTGTTTTTTAAGCCAAACGTATACTACGTGTAGAAAAAGTTTAAAAATACTGCTCATAAAACAGAATTAATTTTTTTTTTTGATGCTTATCGAAAATCGCTGTCACTGTGAACTTAACATAAGTTTGTTTTCTCATCACTAATTCTAGATTCGCCAATTTGCCGTTTTCTTCCTCATATGCTTTTCATTTTTTGTTTGTGTGTTTTACCGCTAATCGTAATAAGTACACAAATTCTATAAATCTGCGCAGGTTGCCAGTGTTTTGCATTGACTATGGTTTAGTTATTTTTCTTTGCATTTTGATTCGCCAAGCGATCGCCCACAACAGAGTTTAATGTAAATTAAAAAAATTGCTGTACTAGACACACACATTTACCTTAATGTTGTCTGGTATAGACGTATTGTGTTTAAAAGAAAAACGTGCAAAACGTACACCAATTTTGCACCGAGATTTCTGGCAGCGCTGATCAAATTATATACATTAATTTAAAAACGAAAACACATTTCGGTCGTGTTGGTAGTGTTTGTTTACAATTGAGCCGCTGATTGTTACTGAAGTGTTGCCACCATGTAAGGATTTTTAAAGTGTGCCATCTCTCTCTGCGAATTGCAAATAAATCTTTGTTTTATTTATGCAGCTTTACTTAAAACGCAATAAAAAAAAAAATAAGAAAATGAGCGATGACAATAGCAATTTTGAGGACATCGACAACAGCGACAATGACAGCGTAGAGTCTTTTGCTACAGCTGCTGCTTGGGAAAGAAAATCTATAAAAAGTGCGCCCCTTCTGCCACACGAATGGTTGTCCCTGGAGCAGAAACTGAAGCGCATTATAGTTATTCAACAAACGGATCAGTCATACCATAGGGCACTAAGCGACATACGCGACCAAGCCATCATCTCGGTGCTGGTGGAGCCAAGCTTTTATGGGCGGCATTGCATTACATCCGTCATGGTTATTGCCACTGCGAATAATACTTATGTGTTTGATCTGAAAGCGCTGGGTGTAATTTTTCGGGAACTATCTGTGCTGCTGCAGGCGGAGTATCCTAGAAAAATAATGCACTACAGTCATCGAATATGCGATTTGCTGTTCCATCAGCACAAGCTAAGAATAAATGGAATTTGCGATACGTTCGTGGCGTTGTGCGTGGCTCGACAGGATCGCAGTAATTGCACGTTGCAGGACGCCATTGCGCTTATTTTTAAGCTACCGCTGTCCGAGCTGACCTGCGATGAGATAACTAGTGTAAGAAAGACCATGTTCTGTGTATAGCTCTAAAATGATATCTTACTATTACTGCAGGCAAGCGAGTCGCTGCGTAACTTCACCGCACGCCCTTTATCCAGAGGACAGATCCAGTACCTGGGAAAACTTGCCATATTACAACATAAGTTGCACGATACGCTTATTTACGGAAATATTTGTAGCGATTTGCAAGAAATGTCGGAAAAATTCAGCTGCGAGTTTAACAAGCAAAAGAAATCGGACGAAGTGGCACTGAACATGAGACCTGGTAGCAAAACTGGCTTCGACTGCATAGATCCATACTACAAAATATCAACATCGATGGACTAAGTACATTTCCTTAATATTATTGTTAAAATGGATCCAACACGCGCATGCTGAACACATTCCTCACGTCTCCTTCTTGCTTTTTCAATTCCCTTACAATCTTAAAGATTGTACTCCATTTCTTTGTTGTATCGTTGCATTTGGGTGCATCCAACTGCAAAATACTCTACTCACAAAGTAGATTTCTTTAATTCTTGTTTTAATGGCTTTCCGACTGTAACCCAAAACAGTAACATTAAAGCTTGGAAATAATATTTTTTATTGTCGGGGGATCCTGTGGTTAAATCACTAACCATACAACATATAGATGAGACATCCAGTACAATTGTATGTGGACATTCATAATTTTAACAATAAATATAATAATGCTAAAAAAATATATATATTTTTGACAACTGGTCCAAAGTCGACTTCGTTTTTGTTCGGGTCCGAGATTCGCTTGTTGTATAGTTAGTGTTCAAATAGAAATATAGTTTCTTTTGCGATTGCCTGTCCCTATAGGGCGACACCAAATAAAAAAAAACGTTAATACTATTACATTTGGAGTCCTAGCTTCATTGGCGAATGACGTTCATGCGCATGGACAGTGCCAATATGCTTATCTTACTCTGTGACCAGAGTATAAATTCTATTTAACTCGTAAAAGTTTATTGCATTCCTCTTTCTATGTGGCTAAATTTCAACGGCTGACTTTAAATTCGTCGAGTAAATGCTTTTTCCGATATTACGATACATCGTACATAGAGAAAGCATCGATGCCAATTGTGCGGTGGTTGTGCATCACTATTACGAACAACTGCGACCGGCCCGCACGTGTAGAATCTTCACTTTCATTTATTAATTAAGTTTTAGCTGTTCGAAGCGCTCCAGTTTGCATTTAATTACATAAAAATGGTAAGTACAGTGTTAACTTATTCAAAAATACTGAAATCGCATGTGGCGTATAAAGAATTTCACTTGAGCTTCTCGAAGTTTCTACATACGCTGATAACTCGCCGTGCCGGGCTGTTGTGTAACTCTGCCCCAGCACTTGGGCGGGGGGAAATAATGTGTGAAATCAATTATAGTAAATTGCTTATTAAAATCGAATGATTTGCAATTGTATATAGGCTGCCGCTATTAAGAAGATCATCCCCATGCTTGATCGCATTTTGGTGCAACGGGCTGAAGCTCTTACCAAAACGAAAGGTGGCATTGTCTTGCCAGAAAAATCGGTGGGCAAAGTGCTGGAAGGCACTGTTGTAGCGGTGGGCCCCGGAACTCGCAATACTGTAAGTATTTCATAACTGCGCGCGGCAATTACAACATATTCTTAAGCTTGTCACATAATATTGATTGGATCTATTATTTTTTTAGACAACTGGCAGTCATATTCCAATTGGTGTACAGGAGGGGGATCGCGTTCTGCTGCCTGAATTTGGCGGTACCAAGGTCCAATTGGATAGTGATGAGAAGAAAGAGCTGTTCCTTTTCCGCGAGTCGGATATCTTGGCCAAGTTAGAATAAATGGCTCCCAATAATTCTATGAATTCTGTTTTCTATTAGTGCGTAACCCCCTACAATAAAAGTTTAATGCAATGTTTTTGATTGCATGACCCAAAAATAAAACATGAATCTTCAGTTAATATATAAAACTATATTTGTATGTAAACACTTAACCTAATCGAGCTTCAGATTACTCAGTCCGTAGACCTGATTGAAGGCCGACCTTCGTTTAATGTCCGGCAACCCCTCCACAGCAGCCCGTTCTCTGGAAATATTTACCAAAGCCTCAAACGAGCGTGGCTCCCAAATAGCCAAATCTGATAGCATTTTTCTATAAAACAAATCGATTAATGTACAGCCAATAAGTGTATATACCATCAACTAACTTGTTCAGCAAAATATCTGAGCGTGCAAGGCCCTCCTTGAATGTGTCCAAGGCGACTCCATATTGTTGGCAGCCGGCTTCAACGCGGCTTGTCCACAGCTGAGCCATGTCCAGTTTCTTGAGCTTGCGGCCCTTGGTGGCGTATGCGAGTGCACGATGAACGCTGCGTATGGCAAAAGAATAAACATTGCGAGTGCGGCTTCGGTAATGCTGAAACAATTTAATTACCGGTCAGAATAATTTCATGAATTTCTGTTCTGAGTACATACCGCAGCGAGTTTGAAAATACGCCTTTTGCGCCAGAACTCATCAGGGCCGCGTGCGCGCACCATCAGGGGAATGCTTAAAAACACCATAGCAAACTCTTTTTGGCAATATGAATAGCAATTGTTAAGGCTTTAATTAATAATTTAATTATTTACATAACCCTCACAGACCAGCCTATCGAAGTTCATGTTGTGCACGCGCAGCTGACTATCGGTAAATTATACATCGCTCGCTCAACTATCGATTACTTTGCGATAGTGAGGAGATTCATAAATGTGAGAAGGTAACGCCACACTTACAAATGAATGACAACAAGATATGTCGAAGGTGACTGTTTTTCCTGTTTACACAAAATTCCGCAGCTCTAGGATGGCTAATGTAAATGATGATAACAAATAAAACACTACAAACCACATATTTCTCATTTACCGTCCAGTGAATATAGTATGGTTTTGGTTTTATAATGTTGAATATTTTCTGACGTAAGGCACAGAACAGTGCACTTTGAACTGTAACCTTCTAAATTAAGACACACTTGCTATTGACATGCGCAGCCGCTGCCGGTTTTAAACTATTTATTTACATTTCTGCAAATGCTATACAAAATCGAAATTTTAATGTGTTTCGTGCCAAGTACTACACAAAAAGCCTTGTGATTTAGTTATAATGTGCGCAAATAATTCACGGCCCTCAGCATCGGCAGGCCACCACGCCAAACTCTGCTCCGAGGGCCGGATTAGTTTGTATTGCTTTCTGGCCACGGCGGGTCTTGTGCTTGTGCCCTCAGTTCCTCAGATATACTATGGGATTGTACCAAATGTCTGGGGTGCCGTCCTGTGGGGACCGATGTTGTACTACGCCCTAATCAACATGATAATCCGTTTTGTGCTCAGGAACATTGAATATCAGGTATGGGATGACTCATTGTACAAGTGCCCAAATATCTCTTACTTTGTAATTGTTATCTATAAGGTTGCCATACGCGCCTCGTTTTTGGGCTTTACCATGGCGGCAAGCGTTCTAGTCATTTGTTTTGCGCCCACACCTTGGCAGCAGTTCGGCGTATATGGCTGCTTCATGTCCTTTTTTCATTACTCTGAGTTTCTGGTTATTGCGTTTGCAAATCCACGCACCCTCTCACTGGACTCCTTCATGCTAAATCACTCGGTGCACTATGGCCTGGCGGCAGCAGCCAGTTGGATAGAGTTTGCCCTAGAGCTATATTTTTTGCCCGAATTCAAGCGTTGGGCCTACTTGTGGCTGCTAGGTGTGACGTTATGCACCTTCGGCGAAATTGTGCGAAAGGTGGCCATCATCACTGCAGGGCGCAGCTTTACGCATTTAGTAAATATATACATATAATCTTATTTGGTCAAAGTATATTTGTACATGAATATAAATCACAACAGGTGCAGGATGAGAAGCACACGGACCACAAGCTAATAACCCATGGATTATACGGCTACAGTCGCCATCCGTCGTATGTGGGCTGGTTCTATTGGTCCATTGGCACCCAAGTAATACTGATGAATCCGCTGTGTATTTGCATTTATGCTCTAGTCAGCTGGCTATTCTTTCACGATCGCATATACGTTGAGGAATACTCATTGCTTTATTTCTTTCAATCTGACTATGCGCGCTATCAGAAGCGAGTGCCAACGGGCCTGCCCTTCATCAAAGGCTATCTGATTGAATAGCAGCCATATCGGGATCAAGTACGTCAGCCACACAAATGCAAATGTAAGCAAACAACAAATGTAATTTTAGTTTTCCCTCAGTTTCCTATACTTTTGTATGAACAAACCATACAAAATTCAAGTTCGTGCACACAAGAACAATAGAAATAGTGAAGAACATTTTCTGTTATTATCTACACTATTCGTATTGTTTTCAACTAGGTAATATACGATTTTTAAATGTTATATTATTAGTATTTTTCAACAACGAAATAAATTCAGAAGCGTCTCTATAAGTAAATGCAGTATGTGATTCATTTGTTTGCTTCTTTGTCAGCAAAAAATAAGTCAACCGACAGCTGTAAAGTAATATTTGTTAATGAAATAGCTGTGTAGCTGCCATTTCGTAGCCTTTATTCGTTACTTCAATGCATCACAGATAAGTCACAAGCTTATCAAAACAGATTATAAAGATAGCTTGAGAAACATAAATCAACATCAGATACGATGTGATATATTACAGTAAAAATAAAAGAATGACACCTGTGTGTAATCAAAACACCTCAAGGGTCATTGCTGTAATTTTTCTAAACTAATCTTATAGCTGATTCAAATATTAAGTCAATTCATAAAACGCACAAAATACAATGTGTTTAGAAGAAAGAAAGCGGAAGCAAATGCCTAATCTTTATTGCAGTACAGCCGGATATCAACACTTGGCTAAATGAATCAATCATACACTTGCTATCAATTTATTTTCGAAGCGGCATTTCTAGGTCATATAACTGCCAATTAACAGTCAAAATCGTAAAAAATTAATAATAGCAATTTTCAAAAATGTGAATGTTTATGGGTTTTGTATTTTATTATCAATTTAAATTCGAATATTGCTCTAACATTGTATATAAACCACAAGGCCGTGCATAACTCACATATTCGTTGGCAACAGTGTGTGTGTGTGTTTTTGTGTATGTGTGAGTGTAGATTATATGTACAAATAATTATTAGTGTTAACAAAATTGTCTTAGTCACTTTTTGAACTTATTTGCAGTAGTTGCAAAACTATTTGCGCAATGCTTATGCCTCTTACAGGTTTGTCGGTGTGCACTCCACGAGTGTTCTTCATTGTGTTGCGTGTGTAGTTTTCGTGTGTGCATGTGTATGTGTGTGTATGTGGGTGGGTATTTCCTCTGGATGATTATTCAACAAACTCTGGCGAACCGGAATACGTGCAGCCTGGATTCTTGATAATATGACCCGCCGCATAGTTACCACAGCGTATGCACACATCCAGCGACTTGCCCTGCACAAACTGCGACAGGAAACCTCCAACGAATGCATCCCCAGCGCCATTGGTATCTACAATTTCATCCACCGCCAAACGTGTGACTGGAAACTCCTGGACCGAATCGTGCTGTATGAGCAGCACGGGGTCGCAGCCCTGCGTGAGTATGGCAATGCGTGGTCGCTCCGAATTGAGTTTATCCAGGGCCACCAGACGCTTGCCAATCTCACGCAGGTCACCGTCGGCGGGCCAACCTTGCGCAGTGGCAAAGGCGTGCGCCTCCGCCTCGTTGCCAAAAATGATATCAACATAGGGCATAACATCCAGCAGCGGTGTCATGAAATATTGCGATATGAATGGTGCGCTGAGGTTCATTAGGAACGGTCGCTGCTTGGCATGGGCGGTGGCGGCCACACGCATTATGCTGGGTGGATTAACGGTCAAAAAGAAGCCCTGCATGCAAAGATCACACAATAGTTTAAAAACCGTTTTGCCAACAGGAATGCAAGATCATCCGCAATTGCTGTGTGTTCTTCCTACTTACCGAAATATAGTAGTATAAAGCATTCTCAATCCGATCCCTGTTGGCCGGTTCCTCCAGGTGCTCGATGGTGAATTTGTTGGCTGCCGCCAGGTTTGCGCACAGAGAGCGATGCGTGCCCGTGATGAGCACAGCACAGGTGCCCGTGGGCGTGTCTTCGCTCACCTGATAATGCGCATCAACACCGGCGGCGCGTGCCTTCTCCCTCAATATATCTGCAAACTTGTCCTTGCCCACACAGCCAAAGAAGACGGCGACATTGGTCTGTCCAATTATCCATTGTGCTATGCGCAATGAATTTTGAACCGAACCGCCGGCCAGATATTCTGCCTGATAGTCCTCAGCCAGTTCGCGATAAATGGGCATATGTCGTTCCTCGGCCAGAATAGCATCATCCTCTTTCATGCCATATCTTTCCAGGAAATGCATAGGAACGGTCGCCGAAATATCCAGCAGAGGATTACCGCATCCGACTAGGATACCTTCTCTGCAAATGAAAAGAGAAGTGCAAGGATTAGCCTCAACTTAATGGACAAGTTCCCTTAAGCGCTTAAGCGATACGCAACCTCACGTTGCTTGAGTTGCTCTTATTGTCGCACATGCTTTCCAGTCGAGGGCTTGCCGCCTAATTAACAATTGAAACCGAAATCCAACATCAACGAGTGCCGCGTCAAATAATAATCAGTATCAGTTGTCGATGAACCCCAGCGATAGCCCCCAAAAAGGCGCTACAGTGCTGGCTAAAATGGTATGCATACTGCTAGAGATGTTGAATAAATACCCAATTAAATTAGACTATATATTTTACATATATTTATACAATATATACCGAAAACAATTCATTTCTTATTTAGAAAAATACTAAAGACCTTAAAGTACATACGCAATTTGATATTTTATGTATGAATACATATCGATATCATCTTGAGCTCTACTCCATTTTTTGGTGGCCACTGTTGTTTACCGTGCGTTTTGTTGTATTTGTCAACAAGAATGTTTCTTATCAGCGCATCGCATTTCTATAGCAACAATTTCGGGAGCTCATTCATAGAACGACCCGCTGCCAATTATATCAAAAGTGGAGACCCACAATTCAGCGTAGATAACGGAACAAACACAAATACACAATAGCGTCGGTCAGAGCAGCAAGCACAGGCACACGATTTTCACATGTTGCTGTAAATTTCGGCAATTAGATGCACGAACTAATACGAGCACGTGGTGCCATTTGTAGACATTAATAAACTACGAGGTGTTGGCTGGGGGCAGTCGGGACCGTTTCACACAACTTACTGTAGCTTGCTTGTCATTTTTTTTATGTTGTTGTTGTCTTGGATGTTGCCGATTGCTTATGTAAACATAAACACGTTATTGCACTGAGAAGCTGTAGCTTAAAATTGACTTTGTATCACTCTATAAACTATGACTTAGTTAAATTAGACTTATTACGAGCTATTTTTAGCGTATTTGACGAGTTGCGGGAGCTGTTTGGCTCCAAAGATTTTGGGCGCAAAATGACACAGAGAACAGCCGCTAAAAATATGCTAAAAAATACTTAATCATATGGCCTACGATTGTTCTAATTTACATCGTTTCCACTAGGCATAAGCTATTGAAATGATATATTTAATATTATTGACAACTTATTTAAAAATGTTAAGTGAAAAATAACATTTAAAAGAGCAATAGTTGAATTTTATAATTGAATTGTTTGTCACAATAATTTAAATTGAACAACTAAAACGAGTTATAAAACAACCAGCTTTTGTAAGGCATTGGCACTTACAGCTGATATCGAAGTTTCGAAGCATCACTGATTTCAAAACATGAAGTTGGCCGCAGCACGACTCGGCTCTCTTTCTTTCCGGTTGTCAAAAAGGTACGAAAGCGTATTAATTTTGTGCTGAAGCCGCCTCGTCTTTAATTTACAATTATGTGCGCCATCATATCTAATAATAGTTTTATTATAATCATTTACAGTGCAGTGCAGCCTCAACCTTTCAGATATGGCCGACGTTGATGTGTAAGTGCAAAATGCTTTGACTTCTAACTAAACAATTTTACATTGATGAAATTAATTGGTCCGTGTTTATGAATTTATTTTGATTTAAAAACTTCCAATTACTGAGTTAAGAGTGTTAAAATATTATTAAATTTGTCATTCTCTGACGATAATTTGTGATTTCGAATAACAAGCCTTTTTCTCCCGGCAGAGATGTGCCCTCCGCAGCGCCCGTTCTTGGCGGCGCCATGGACATAAACACCGCGCTACAGGAAGTGCTGAAGAAGTCGCTGATCGCTGATGGACTCGTCCATGGCATCCACCAGGCCTGCAAGGCTTTGGACAAGTAAGCAACAACAACATAAACATACCATTTTTTGGCTTTTGTTTTGGCACACGCTGATGAGATTAATTGGTCCGTGTTTATGAATTTTACATTGATTGAAAATTTTCCAATTACTGAGAACCCCACAAAGCCAATTAATGTAAGCATAAGGTTGGTTAAAATTGATTCTAATCGTTATTTTGTTTAATAGGCGTCAAGCTGTCCTCTGCATTCTGGCCGAATCCTTTGATGAGCCCAACTACAAGAAACTGATCACAGCCTTGTGCAATGAGCACCAGATTCCGCTGATTCGTGTCGATTCGCACAAGAAACTGGGCGAATGGTCCGGTCTGTGCAAGATCGACAAGGAGGGCAAGCCACGCAAGGTGTGCGGCTGCTCTGTGGTTGTCATTAAGGACTACGGTGAGGAGACGCCCGCATTGGATGTAGTTAAGGACCATCTCAGACAGAACAGCTAAACATGTTTCCGTTGCCGTTCCCCCGTCTGCTGAATGAGAGACTACCTGGCAAGTTTTTTATTGCTAAATAAAGAAAAAAAATACCTACAAAAATAACGGAACGTCAATTTTTGGAATGTTCTTTAATGTGTAATACAAAGTAAACATAAAACAGTTATGCTAGACAGCCTTGCCAATGCAGGTGTCCTTGTGCTGCGGCCAATCCTTAAGTTGGCACTCCCTGGAATTGAAAAAAAACCCCCATTTAATTGAGATAAGTTTTCGCGCGAAAATTGTGAAACCCACCGGGAACAATAATGAATCAGCTTGCAACTGGCGCATTTCTTTTTTGCTGGCTCCTGGCAAGTGCCGCATTTGTGGAATTTTTCCTCCGTTTCGTCGGCTGCAGGACTGTCATCTGACTTGGTTTCATCCTTCTTCAGTTCCAAATCGGCCATGTGTTGTTCCAGTTCACATAAAAGCTCTGTACCATAGGCGCTGCTCAGTTTCGTGGCCAGTGCGCAGATCTCTTCTCGATTGTTGTTGAGGAATACTCCATCCTGGTTCTGAGCTACCTGGTAAAAGCCGCCGTCGCGCTCCACCTCCTTGATGAGGTCATCCTGAATTTGTGGCATATCCTCTAAAACTAGATTCTGAGCCTTTTTGCCAGTATTCCCACTGAGTGTTAAGCGACTGATGTACTGCTTCAGCTCGATCAACACCGGCAGCTGGTCCAACAGCGTTTCGTGTAGCATGCCCAGCAGCTGTGATGAAAAGCATTAGCCTGGATTCAATGCTGCTACATTTTATTACCTTGGATATCTGTTTGCAACGCGCCTCGTTCAAGGGATAATTATCAGTTATCTGCGGGCTGAGCAGTAGCTGACGGACACAAAACCAGGCTTGGGCTTCTGGCTTTATAATTTTAGCTACGTCCTCAACGCCACTCCACTTCTCGTCGATAAACTTCTCCAAGCCCTTGCTGGTATTGCGTTGCCAGGGCCGAAAGCAGAGTACATCGACCATAAGCCAGGGTATGTCGTGAGTAACTAGCATTCGACGAGCTGCGCCCAAATGGAACAGCGAAACATTGTCGGCTAGGTAGCTGAGCAGGGAAACGCAGCGCAGGCCAATCTTATAGATGAGATCGCGCTTTTGGCGCTCCAGCTCGGTGAGCACGGCCTCGTCCACATCTACTTTGGTCTCGTTCTCGTGGTAGCCCATGCTAACCAAACCGATTACCTGCGCAACGCCCTGGGCACAGTAATCGATCAAATCTAGCACCGAATCCTGAAGCGATTCACAGCCACTGGGATGGTAAAGGCATAGATCGAGCAGCGCCACCACAGCAGCCTCATGGTACAACACCGTGTAAATCAGGAATGTTGCCTGTGGATTCGGATCAATCTCCAGCAGATGGGGCAGCACACGTGATTTCCACAGATTGACGCAATACGCCTCATTTATGAGCACCGATAACTTATCTCGGGAAATGAGAAACTCCTTGACTTCCTCTTCACGATGTTCGGCCACCTCAAGCGCCGCCTGCTGGCTCAGCTTGATTATCATCTCATGGATCTCCAGCCATTTGCTGCTGCCCACATCGCGCACCTGAAAGCTACGAATGCTCTCCACGAACAGGTAAAGCTCCTCCGGGTACACAAAGTTTACCATTATTTCGATTTTTTTGTTCTATTAAATTGTTTGAAGTGAATTCTGAAAAACTCACTAGATTCTTCAGCTTGCGAGTAGAAAATTATGTGGACAGAATGCTACATAAATCAAATTTTGGTTGTCATAGACATTGTTCGGTTGCTATGTTGCTTCCAGAGAGAAGTTTTTAGGGGTTGCTGTAGTTACTTTTTTCAGTTTGCAATATCTCTTCAAAATTTGAGAAGAGGAATTCAACTTATCAATCTCTTTAGTTGCACAATTAAATGCCCGTAGCCGATCTCCATACTTACAGGCATACTAAAAAGCCATTCGTAGACGTTTTAGATTTTGTACATTCAGATTGTATTTCAACAAGAATAATTGGATAAATCATATATTTCCATGGGGATGCAACTAGAATATCAACTCACATTTATAATTATATGAAGGTCCATTGGGCTAAGTTATCCCAACCACTTTTCGCAATTAGTTAATACTTGAAGTAGAACATGCTTTCTCTATATCTTATATACATCATATATATAAAAGACACTAAAATACAGAATAAAATCTATTCGTCTTTGACTATAAATTGTAAATTAATGACTCGTCGCTGCGTCTTCCTTTGCGACTCTCTGTTAAGCAATTAACATTAAGGCTCTAGCCTAAACCTTGCAATTCTAAGCAGATACAGAAGTCCCGAAATCCATACACAAAAGTGATAATCACACGCTTTAGTTGAAAAAGTGTCTAACGATACAACTTCACTTGCTGCTTAAGCTCGCAATCGCTTATGCGATCCTTGAGATTCAATTCATCCTCCTGTTTGCGCAGCAATTCAAAAATAGCCGCCAACTGTTCACGCTCAATCCGTCGCTCCTCCTCAATCTGGCTGGGTGATAAGTTCTTTTCCAGCTTGTGTTGGTATCGCTTGGCCTTGAATTTTCCCACCAGATTACTGTAATTGGGAGCCTTTCCTGGTCCTTGCTCTGCATCGCTCTCGCTTAACGGTTCCTGCTCTTCCTCGTAGGCCTCATCATCATCGATTTCCCTTTGCAGGCGCGCTTGCATCTGTGCTTTCATTACGGGATCGTCCTCCAAACGCACCTCGTCATCGCCAAGGCCTTCATCCTCTAGTTCCTGTATTAAGTACATGTATTTGAGTGCATTTCGGGGGTGGGATTATTTCAATTGGCTACTCACAGAATCGTCCTTCAAAAAGTTGGCAAAATAAAGGGCTATTAAAATGCACAGCAGCAGCGTGCTCAAGGCAACCACATAGTATCCGGAAGGATCAAACCACATGTCATTCAATACTGCAACCGTATGCTTCTAATATTTTTGTCTTTATTAGTGTTTGTGTTTGTTGCAATTTTTCTTACGGTTTTTGTTTTGATAACCAACTCCAGCATTGAGGAATGTGGCCGATTTTCAGAGAGACTAAAATACGAAAAACTACAAAAATACTATTAAAATACTAAACTTCATATTGGCTTACTTCATTAGCGTCAGTTGACATTCAAACTACACATAAATATTTTAATAGTATAACAAGCTTTTATTTAGTTTGAGTATTTCAAACATTTATTTGGTTTTATTAAACTTCATACAGTATTTATTGAATCGACGCTATTTTTTGCCTCTAAAAATTTGTCCGTTGATTTTTGAATATTCACATTTATTTCTGCGGTTTTTATTTGGTATAACTTAATGCCATACTTAAAATATGTCATAATGAACAATTATTTAAAAAGCGACATTTATATATTGTTATATTCAATGTAAATAACTTAAAAACAACTTTAATTTTTAGTTAGAATGCGAACGAAAAAAAAAAACAAACAAAACGCTTTAAAAATATTGATTGGCAAACTGAATATAAATGTCATGTACATCTAAAATAATTACTACATAACTTTGAATATCTTAATATTTTATGTATAAAACAAGTCGGATTGGTAATATTGCTGGCTGACCAAAGCTTCCGCAATAAAACTTTAATTATTGTTTTCGGCGTTACGCCTTAGAAATTGATCGGGATTTTGCAAGAAGGCTTCCAAAAATGCGATACCCTTTGGTAAAAATTGAATTTTCTCATCGAATTGATACAAAGTTGGCTGCAGAATATCCTTAAACGAGATCTCCTGAACGTTACCGATTTCAATTTTAAAGTTCGTTTTCTCCATACGCGCAAATGCCTCATCTTCCTTCTTAATTAATCGCCGCACAGTCTTTCTCAGAATAATGCGATTAGATTCTCTAATAATTGAAATATTAAAACAATTAAACAACCACATATTTAAACTGATTTGGGATTTCACCTTAATAGCCGCGCTCCTGCTGTAGTCAACACCATTTGCATATTTTTACATATGCTATATACTCTTAAGCAAACTTCATCTATGTGGAGTAAGAATTTTACAAAATCTTCAACTTCGTTGCCATCCAACAGGCGATCCAGGTTCAGTGGTAGATTAAGCTTTAGCTGAAAATCCATCAGATGGTCATAGACATTCCATAATGGAACTGAAAGTGAAAGAAATCCAGTTAAAAATTGAGTTAAGAGTCTACAATTTAGATACCTACACTTCGGAGGTATGTTCGATTTTCTCATTTGAATGCTGCTCACGCGTATCTTACTTTCCAGTAAGTCCAACGGCTCATAATCAATAACGATTTGAAATGTTGTTATTTTACGATGTGAGAAGATATATTTACGATAATATTTAAGATTATCATGAAATATCCAATTGGGCAACTGGGCACGCATTGAGTCTTCCAAGCACTTGACAAACCTTTCAACTGGTTTTGGTTTTGGACAGAATTGCTTGTACCTAAATTAGAAAAGTTCAATTAAAGGATCAAATCGTTTCTGATATCAGCTTTTTACTTACTCTTCGCACTTGTTGTTAAACATCTCGAGCATTTGTGCTAGACTTAAGCAACATGTATCGCTTATATGGCTGTGCGTTTTCTCTTCATCTTCATCATCGGGGTTAAGTTCCAGTTTTTTGAGCTCCCAATACTTGTGCACATCCTCTAGACGCGGCCGTTGTCGCAATCTTTCCAAACGCTCAAACTGCGCATCTAGATCAGGGCAATCCGGCAATTCAAATGAATCCGCAGAGATGTTGCGCGTCGTCGCATTGTCCATTGAGCGCCTGCAACGCTTGCATTTTTTGCACGCATCCGCTGCTCCAGCCACTGCTGGTGGATTAAGCTGCTCAAGGCAAGCTTCAGGTTCGGAATTGGACTCTAATTCGATATTGCTGCTATTAGCCGTTTCTTTTTCTCTGTCGTCCTCCTCGTCCAGCAAGGTCGACACCAGACTGAGTCGTGTCTTATCAATTTCATAAACGTCCGACTCCTCGCCAAGAACTTCAGCAGCGGCTAGGATTACGGTATCGCCACTTAGATTTATAAACCTTTTATGGGTTGTCGCATAGCTTTTATTACAATGCTCATTTGAGCTGCGACTTTCAATGGATGATTCCTTGGCCTGGTGCTCAGCTTTCTTGGCATGTGAACGCTTCGCCAATTCTCGCTGCGCCGTAAAATGATTTGACACATCAGAAATGGTTATGGGGTTATCCTCATACATAGCTGGATCCGTTTTCGCCTTATCTTCCGTCAAGTGAGTGATTTCCATTTTCTGGCAGCGTGTCTGCCCCATCATTATTGCCCTCACCATCTGCACGGTGCCGTCCAGCTGCTCCGTTTCACGCCAAGGTGAATTCAATGATTTGGATAAGACAGGAATTCGTGACCTGTTTCTAGCGGGCGTTAATTGCTCCACATTTTGTGCTGATGCTTCCAGTTCAATCGCTGAGCTACTAAAATTTATTGATACAAAATTAGATACTGCCTTACGTCTGGAGAAAACATTAACTTACACATTCTTGTCCTCCATTTTTACTGGCAAGTGCGTGTTGCGCTTTTTGGGCTGCGGCAAATTAGGTGTCAAGTGTATTGGCAAGCGCTTCACGGTAAACGAAGTCGTTTGCTTGGGAGTGCCAAAGTTTGAGGTGTCCATGTCGAGCTCCATATCCATAGTGTTGTATATGGATTGGACAGCAGGCTTCGCAGCTGGGCTCTCAACCTTGCACTCTTCCTCCAGGTCCTCATACTCAATTATTGAGCGACCGGGCGTGATGGGAAAACAATTTTGATACCAATTCTGCTGCTTCTTATTCATCTCAGGGGTTTCCACACTTGTACGGTTGATAAGTCGATTAAAGACGCTTTTTGTGTCTACAGCTTGACATTGTTGCCCTTTCTCAATCCGATCTGGACTTGGAAATTCCTGCTTTGGCATTGGCATTGACTTGGTCAATGCTTCACGTGCTTTGAGCCTCTGAGCTAACCACTCTGCTGAATCTGAAGGACTGTCACCTCTCGCTTTATCAATATCCTCGGAGGCGCTTTGGCTTAGCAATTCCAACTCTAGAGAGTCCGACATCAGCAGTGTGGGCCTGGACTTGCTGGAGCGCTGCTCAGTTGGCGCAACTTTTGGCATTTCTACATCCATGGCTTCGTCTCTGTGTAATGTGTGTCTTGGCTTCCTTTGTAGTTGAAACTTGGGTGGAGTGGTCGGCTTTGACTGGTTGCAACTGATGTCTTCCTCCATAGCTTCCTCCATGAAATATGTTTGACGTGCATTTTTGTTATATTGGTCGATGGAAGCATCTGCTTGTAACTTTAATGACTTGGCTGCATTGCAAATGGCTTCTTCAATGGGCTCAGCTATATTTAATGTTTGCCTGGCCATTGATTTAGAGTTGGTCACTTTTTGCGCGCTAGTTATATCTTCCTGAATGGATTCGGACATGAGTAAAGTTTGTCTATGTTTGTTGCTTGGTTTTTCAGCTGGGTGCGCTGCTGACGTGGATTGCAATTGTGCATGAGATTTAATCTCATCGATATCAATAGCTTCTGTCGTGAGCAAATCCCTTCCATTCTTGCTGGCATGAGCTTCCACGGGCACGGGAGTTGGTTTTGAACAGAAAGAGTCTTCTTGAATTGGATCAGCCGTATGTAATGTTTGTCTACGCCTATTGTACTGTAAGGCAACTGTAGGAGCTGTTGACTGTGGCTTTAGCTCTTCTCGCGGTTTTAAAACATCTTCCGCATACCTTTGCAATGTGTGTCTATGCGAGTTGGCTGCTGCGGACATTGAACAGATAGAGTCTTCTTCAATGGGATCAGCCATGTGCAATGTTTGTCTTCGCCTATTGGACTGCAGGCCAACTGATGGAGCTTCTGGCTGTCGCCTTAATTGTTCTTGCGGCTTTGGTCCATCTTCTGCAATTGGCGTATCCCGTTGCAATGTGTGTCTATGCGAGTTGGCTGCTGCGGACATTGAACAGATAGAGTCTTCTTCAATGGGATCAGCCATGTGCAACGTTTGTCTACGCCTGTTTGAATGCAATCCTACTGCAGAAGTTTCTGACTGCCGCCTTAATTCTTCCTGCCGGTTTGATCCATCTTCCGCAATTGGCGCATCCCTTTGTAATGTATGCCTATGCGAGTTGATTGCTGCGGACATTGAACAGATAGAGTCTTCTTCAATGGGATCAGCCATGTGCAAGGTTTGTCTACGCCTATTGGACTGTAGGCCAACTGCAGCAGCTTCTGATTGTCGCTTCAATTCGTCCTTAATTGGTTTATCCCCAGGGAATTTATCTCTATGCTGATTGGCAGCGTTGGACATTGAACAGAACGAGTCTTCTTCAATGGGATCTGCCAGATGCAATGTTTGTCTGTGCCTGCTGTGCTGTTGTTCAACTGCAGTAAACTTTGACTGGGGTTGAACGACAATTTCTTCAATGGATTCAACCAAATGAAGTGTTTGTCTACGTCTAATGTACTGCTCTTCCATCGTAGGAGCTGTCGGTTGAGCATGTAAGTTTTGTTGTGGTCTTACAAAATCCTCCTCAATGAATTCGGCCATGTGCATTGTGTGTCTGTTCTTATTGTCATGCAGCTCTACTGGGGCAGCAGTCGCTGAATAAAAGGAATCTTCTCCAATTGATTCGTTTAAATTTAGTGATTGTCTACGCCCGCTGATCTGCTGCTGCACCGGTTGCGGCATCGGTTCTTTTTGTGGCCCCATGACATCCTCCTGAATGGGTTCAGCCATGAGCAGCGTTTGCCTGTATTTATTGTGCTTGGATTTAATGGAAGCAGCAATTGTCTTACCGCCTTTGTTCGAGCAAAAAGAGTCTTCTTCAATGGAATCAACCATATGCAGTGTTTGCCGGCGCCTGCCGTAGTGCTTTTCTACTGCAGGAGCTAAAGAATTTAATGGTAATTCCTGGCGAGGTACTACGATATCTTCGTCCATGGCTTCCGCAGAGTGTATGGTTTGTCTGCGGGTATTGTTTTTCATTTGAGGAGCTGCCGGCTCAATATGTGGTATTACGATATCCTCTACAATTGGTTCAGCCATATGCAATGTTTGCCTATGCCTCATGCGTTGCGATGCTGTTGGAGTAGCAGGCGGACCTGACTTTAACTCATTGTGCGAGTCAAAGGAGGTTTCTTCAATGGGTTCAGACATGTGCAACGATTGCCTTAGCTTGCTGCGCTGCTGAGATGGCTGTGCTTTATGGGGATTCAAATCTGCTTGATTGCATTGCTGAACTGCAGTTGACATATGCATTACGTTGATTGCATTTTTGCAGGGACTTAATAAAGTTTCTTCTTCCATCGGCTCTAGGCGTTGCATAGTTTCCTTGTGCTTGGCGATCTCCAGAGCAGCTCTCATAGCTGCTTCACATTTTTCCAGATCATCCAATTCCATAGCAGTATTATCATAAGTCGTTTCCCGTCGCGATGAAGATTTGGAGCTATTTCGCGACTGCGTTTCATCGCCTATTCTGGCATGGACAAGAAAATTTGTATTGTCTAGCATCAGCTCGTCCGCCTGGGAGAAGCGATAGTTGCGTCTAGGGTTATGTGAGCTCTTAGCCTTGACGGGTTGCTCGAAATGGTCTGCTGTTGCCATTAGATTAGGTTCGGGCCTTTGCGGTGTGGGCGACATCATCATGCTCTCATTAAAATTAAGCGTGCCGCGTGGCTTAATGACTTCTCTGAGGGGGACATCCTGTTCCGCGGGCTGCTGCTCTAGACCATGCCAAAAACGCTGTTGCTTTGCTTTGCGATCGGTAGTTGGTGTTTTCGGACCGTTGGGAAACAACTGTATTTGGCCGGAGTTCAAGGCATCGTTCAGTTGCCGAAAGTTCAATTTCTTGCTTATCCCGTTCTCTGATATAACATCCAACGGTATTAACGGCGAAGACAACGTCGAATCATCTGGCAAATAATTCATATAATCTTTTTCTACCACATCAATAGATTCATTTTCTTGCGTTGGCTTAGCCGTCGCACCCGCAGCCCAACAACTTTCTTTTGGCTCTGAAAAAACAGGATATCAATATTTAGTCATTCTGATTTTGGCTATTTTCATTATTATCCCTACCAATGTCGGTAAAATCACAAGATATGTCCTTGTTCTCAAATAGCACTGTCTTCTGACAGACTTGTTGAGTCACACAACTAATGTCCGTAGGTATTACAATAGTTTTTTGTTCGTCTCTGTTTTCCAGATCCTTGGGCTCCTTGGGTCAATAAAAAAAGAACGTTGTAATCTTAAAACATCAAATGTTTTATGAATTATACTCAAATAACAGAGATAACTATGACGTTACATCCATTACAAAGTACATTTGCTTCACATCAGCATAAGATGAGGTTCGTTTAGACTATTCAAAGATATTCAATATTTTTACGTACCTCAGCAAAAGCTAGCTTTTCTGGAACAAGATCCATTGTTTTTTCAAAAACTGGCATTCTATATACACTATTTTCACGCAGCTTTACACGTTCCGCTTCATACAAGGATAAACTGTCGCTTGACATTGACTCCAAAGGGGCCGGGGATTCCATTCGCCGATGGCGTTTGGCCATTTCATCTGGTAGCAGCGTCACATTGATGCTCGTTTGGAGTTTGAGTGTAGAATCGCTAAATCGAGAATTCTGCTCGTACACTGACCCTAGGGCTATTGCGATGGGCGATGTATTTTCCTTGTCCATCTCATTGGCCAATGAGATATGGGCTGTACTTTGCAGTACAGACGCTGCCACAGTGCCATGGGTTTGGCCGGAGCTATCGTCGCCGTTGGTGTGGTCCGATATTTCATATGAGTTGTCGTAGTCGCGTGGTTTCTCCGTAGTATCGAATTCTCTGTATTTTTTAAACAAGAGCTATGCTTTAAATAACTCATGGATATACTATTAAAACTTTATTACCTGATAAACTTTTTGCCGCTAAAACTGATGCGACGCTTTATAGTACGGACAGGATCAGGCTCCTCATCCGCCTGGGTCGGCCCTTTTTTTAGCTAACAGAATGGGTATTATAAGTATTCCGTTTATGAGGTATGATTTTTCACTCACCGAACTTCTTGATTTTTTATTATTCATTTTTGTTCTGGTAAACAAATAATTCTGTTCTTTTGTTTTAAAATATAGACGCCATTAGATGGGAATGTCAACTCGTTTAAAATGTTTATGTCACCTCCCCAGAGAATGTCATTATTTTATATCGACTTATCGATAAAACGATTAAGGCTGTTAAATTCAACTATCTATTAGCATTCAAGTAGAATTAATAAAATCAGAGGAATTTTTTTTTAAAACCTTAAGATGCGCACAGCACCAATTGAGCCAGCTGCATTAAGCCATTTGGTAGTAGTGGCAGAGATTAATTTTTTTAAAATTTCTAATTTATCAAATATATACCATGGCATTATAATGCTTGTATTATTGTTGGCTGTGGATGTGGGAAAAATTTGGCAAAAGTGTAGTAATCAGCTGGAAGCTTGTTATCGATATTGATTGCATGTTCAGAATAGATAGACTTATCATTAATTCAAGAAATCGATAATAGACTTGACTCATCGCTACCGCCAAGCACATTTTTCTGTGCTGTATCTACTTAAAACCGCTACCAAATTGAATCGTGAAATGTACGAGTTGAAGACTTTGTTGCCACAATTTGATATTAAACTGCCAACCTGTATGTACGAATTAAGGAATGTCAGCCTCTCCGCCGGCGCTACACCAGGCCCCGCAGTAAGTGTTGTTCGCAGCTGCCGTGGCCCAAATTAGAGATGAGCGTTGCTGGAACAGAATGTCACAGTGACTAAAGTGCCAGTGAATTGCTTTTCAATTGGTTGCCCATGCTCCATCTATGAGCTTACTTCGGTGCTGAGCCTATGTGAAAACTCAAAAATCATTTAATTTTCATTCACTACATGATATCAAAAAAAGGCCCATCAAATTCAATGCAGTGGCGCTGCGGAGGTTGAGAGCAACATTACAAAATCTGGCACCTGTGCACTTGATTTGGACATTTTAGGCAGACAAATACAACATTTGCTAAAGGTTAAACGATGTATATGCTAAACACAAATAATATGTCTATTTATAAATTCAACTGACTAACAAAAATGCATAACACGCACCGTGCTTTTCAAGTTTGTGTTCGTGTGTTCACATTAGAAATGGGCGCATGATGTTTCGACCCGTTATAAACATTATGTGAATATGTGCCCAAAAATAAGTCCAGGGTATTAAAAAACTTGGCTATTAACACTATGTATTGTTGCTAATAACAAATTTAATGAATATGTTAAACATATTTATATATCTAACGAGTGGGTATCCTCAGACGCGGTTATCAAACTATTTCAAAGGATATGCAATTACGATGATATTGTCACGCGCCCATCTCTAGTTTTAATGCAGTCAGTTTTGGAAGCTGAAGTGTCCTTTATTGATGCAGTGCGTTGCCTTTTTGTTTTTTTTAGAACCAAGACACAACAGCTGTATTGGAGCGACAAGAAAAGGTGCTGAAACAACTCGAGGAGCTCAAAGCGCAGTTGGGACAAATACGCTCCAGTTTGGGTGTGCGTGTGTGCGGCAAGACCATCCAGCATACAACAGCTTACCAGAATGGTGGACTAAAAGAAGTAGGTTAACTTTGGCCTAATACCTTATAAAATACTATGCAAATGTGTTGAGACAGGTGCCACTGCAGGATGTTGTCGTCAATGGACATCCCAACTTTATACCATATGCATTGTTGGCGTTGAAGAACGCTTGGCGCGATCTGTACACTATTGATGTGAAAACCTTTACACACTCAACAATGGCGGATATTGGGCCAGCAGCGCGAGAATTTGAGGCTAATCTGGCGAAGGTGTCTGTGAATTCAGCGCTACCCAAGATCAACGTGACTCTTATATGGAAGAACTGTACGCATGGGCTAATAGAACTCAGTTATATTTAGATTAATTTTACGATTTGTCTGCCTAGGCGAACACACCGAAATGATTAGCTCACCCACAATGTATGTGCCCATTTATGGCGAGGTGAATATCATAAGGTATTTGGGGCGAGTGGGCCCCACAGAATATCGCTATGAAAACTCGCCGCTCTGCAATGAAATCGATGCTGTGCTGGACATCTGCTATCAACTGTTGCGGTGCACCACACACAAAAGCCAGGTGGCAATGGTGCGGCTGCTGGACAAGCGGCTACAGCAACAGCAATACTTTGGCGGTGATCAAATGTCCGTGGCGGACATTGGTGTCTACAGCTCCCTTATACGCATGCCTGCCATTACGGACAAGGACCTTACCCCGTCGCTTCTGGCATGGCGTAAGCGCGCCAAAATCATAACCCAAATTTAAAATATTTCTAAAGTTGAGCAAATAAACCGTTAGTAAAATAATCTCAGCGAGAACCTGTACTATTTCGAACGCTAAACGCAAACGATCGATTTACATTTGATAGATACCTTATCACAATTAACGATACCAGTCTTGGTAATAGCATATTTCTGAGAATGTTCCTCAAATCAATGAAAATATATATTTCGAACTTTTAAAACCGTACACTTGGAGTAAGGATGAGCACGTGTCGTTCCTTTACTTATCAGAAATATATGTGAAATGTTCACTTTACTATGATTTCAAGTAATCAACGTCGGAGGTTTTTTTTTTTGACATTTTATTTGGCTTATGTATCTTTGCAATTTTTTATACAATGCAGTTTTCCGTTTCAATATTGCAATTGGTGTTTTTTTGCACTTATATATTCCTTAGTTGCTACTTTCCATATTTGCTTTCTGCTCTTGAAATCCGTTGATCGTATCTTATGTTGTTTTTCTTGTTTGTTTATCTTTTGTTAGGATGTCTCTCGCTTGTTAGGATAGTTCTCATTAAAAATTTGCATCTGTAGCGCCCCCTCTAATGATCTGTACATACAAGTACATGGATGTGTGTAATTGTATATATATTTTTTAAATAATAATAGCTAATACATATGTATATTGTATATATATCTTGTATAATCATTTTCAGTTTTGAGTGGTATTTAGTTGCTTTAAAAGGAATCGCAAGCTCTTGAAATTCTATGAACGGGTTAAAAACGTGCTTAGCCAGAGGCTAGCTGGGGATAAAAAGCGGGCCAGCTAAGAAATAATTCACGTTTCAGTTTTACAATTGTACATAATTAATCGTAAAAAAATAATAATTGTGTTGAGAGAAATGATAAACCAGCGATTGGCCTTAGGGGGCGTCTTCAAGCAGCTCGATTCGTTTCTTTTAACACTTAGTACATCATTTAAATGCTACGCAGACGCCTAGGGCAGGAGCAGAGTGGAGGTGGAGCGTGTTTATCTGCATTATGTGGTCTCTCCCTTACCGCTGTCATCAGCGGACTCAGCATCATCTGTTGCAGAAGCTGCAGCTGATTTTGCCGATAAACCATTGTTCGTGCACTTTGAATTGCCATTATTTTTGCTAATCGGTGCACTATCCCCATTGCCCTCTTCATCATCATCATCATCTTCATCGTCCTCATCCTCATCATCGTCCTCATCCGAGTCTGTTGGCAAATCTTCGGTCTCCAAATCAAAATCATCATCATAAAAATTTGCATCTAGGCCGGACTCTGTACTAGGCTTGACCGTGGGCTTTAGGCAATAGTCCTCCAGTGTCATAGGCACTACAATGCCTTCGCGTTTAGCTTCCGCATTGGCGGCCAGTGCCTGTTTGCGTATTATGTTCGGATATTCGTTGTCCTTGCCCTGCGTGGCATTGAAGAATAGTTGAAACATATTAGACCTATATATATGTTAAGATTGGACCAGCACCTACCTGGGAGTCCCGCCATCGGCGATACATCACCGAAGCATCCACGTTGGCTGGCGAGTATGTATTGGGCTCGTTAAGGAGCGAAATAACCGAGAGGAGAATGGTACGCACATTCTGTGTAGGATTCCAGCGTTCGCAGGGAAGCTCACCGCTTTGAGGATCATCAACAGGCGGATGCAGTATGGATATGCAGAGATCGCCGTTCTCGTACACATTCGGATGCCATACCTTGGTGAGGAAGCGTATGGATGGCGGCGAGTACGGGTAATCGTGTGGAAATTTCATGTGCGCCTTGAAATAGCCACCTTGATATAGTGTATCTGGCGGCCCAAAGATGGCCACCTCCCACTCAAACAGATTATCATCGTTCATTAGCTTAACGCGAAATCCTTCGACTGGTTCCTCCTGAAGCGACTTGTACTCCATGGCTAGGGCACGCACGGCCGAGCTGCTAGGTGTCGTCGTCAACGTTGTTGTCGTCGTGGAGCCCGCGCCACCGGCTCCACCAGAAGCCATCAACGTCGACGACGCATTTTGCGATGTGGAGGCGGCGGTGGTCATTTGTTCACCTAGCAATTGAAAAAAGTTTCTATGCAGCAACTTATGTAGGTATGTTCGTCGATATATATGTATGTGTGTGTATTTTGTATGTGCGTGTGCTTTAAATATGTATCAGGCGTACAGGGTCAATATCTTATATACGTAGACGCGTACGGAGGGGAAAACAGCCAACGACTACGGATTCAAGGTGAGCAGCGGCACTCACACATATAAAAATTGTTTTTGCAAATGAAACTTGAAAATTTTGGATAAGCGATTGGGCCAAAATGCGCTGCGTTTCGTAGTCTTGCGTTTGTAGCCTTTTTTTTATTATTAACTTATTTTTTTTCGTAGAAAGAGATGAAATTGTACGTGTTGTTGTTGCTGGTGTTGTTTTGAAGCAGACAACAAAATAATCGAGACAAACAAAAATAAATTAAATGAATGTATGTATGTCAGATGCGCTATAAATACATTCATAGCCTACTATGCTTAATACGTACTTCTTTTGGGTAAAAACTTGCAATGAATAAGCGGCTTATTGATAGCTTTGTATTATTGTTATTTCCTTTGCAACAATTTCACTTTACACATATTCGCCATAATTAGAGATTCGATACTACTCATAGTATGCAGGGTGACATTTTATGCATCGATATCGATACATTGTGATAAGCATAGCTATAGTTCAAGGAGTGTCGATAGTTTAATCGTACGATATATCGCTATGTTGCTACCGCTATACATCTGTACATCCCTAGTAGAAAAAATTTGCGCATCGCTAGTGTATACACAAGTGCTGGAGCTGCAAGTCGTGCGTGCAGAGACGCGAAAATTATTTTAAGAGCCACGAAAACTAACCCATTAATTAAATAAAAAAAAAAAACAACAACCAGCCGCGTCGTTACTACTAAAACTTAGCTTATGGATAATATATCCTCCGCTCAATATGCTACAACGCGGCGCGCTATCTACGCTTAAGCTGTGAAGAGACGGCAACAGTGAAAAAAAAGAAGTAGCAAAGCTAAAAGTGCATACTGGAGTGGCTGCTGCTGTGACTGCGCGAGCATAAAAAATTAAAATCGCCAAATCTAAGCGTATACACACACATGCATAAAACAAAGATCTTGTCATATTCAATTAACATTTGAGAAATCTTAACGAAGAAAATAATTACTACGTTCGAAGAAAATTCAAACAACGCCCAAAACAAAAAAAAATTAACAGATACAAGTACGAGGAGCTGAGTAACAACGACACAACGAAAGATAAATGCATACAGAGACAAAATAGCAACAACAACAACTACTACTAGTACTATTATAACAACGCAGTTACATTCCAGTGGAAAGTAAGGGGGGAAACAGAGGAACATGTTTTTAACCAGCATAAAACAGCATAAAATTATGAACGAGCACATTTTTCTGTGAAAAACGAACGCCCGAAAGAAAAGTGTTGCCTACACATACACACACTCTCACACACACACACACGAATTGATATACATAACGCGTACGCAGGCAAATAACCGCACACAAACAGACAGACGCTTACAAATATCTGCACATACACACTCAAAATGTCCAGCTGGGCTGAGCGCGTGCATCGACGCGCCGCTGATTTGGGCAACGTTGTCACATCCTGCGGCCATCCAGCTACTGCTCCCGCCTATCCCTACCGCTTGGAGAAGGTGAAGTTCGGTGTACCCCTGGATGAGGTATGCAAGCACAACAACAACATTCCTGGGCCGCTGCTTGTGCTCATATTGAAACTAAACAAGGAGTCGCCCAATCGACGCGATGTTTTTCGTGCGCCCGGCCATCAGGGCGCAATGAAGAAGCTCATTCACTTCCTGCAGGCGGGCCGACTTGTTAACGTTGACAACTATTCGGTGTTCACCATTGCCAGCGTATTAAAGAAGTTCCTTCGCAAGATACCCAATGGCATCTTCGGACGCAATGGCGAGACGGAGCTCTTTGCCATTAACGAGCTGCAGAACGAAGCCGAGCAAACGGACCGTTTACACAGGTGAGTCGCCAACATTGTCAATTATGTATGTACACACATATATGCAAACTGTGTGTTGATGGCGTGACACGACTTCATGTACAATATTTGATATATTCAACATCAATTGATATTGCAAAATGTTAATAAACAATTCGACGCCCTATTCCTGCTTATAAACAATAATAATAAATCCAGCTATCGATAGCGTCAGTATTTAATATGCTGCTGGGTAACTTCGCCAGAAAAAAGAGTTATATATCGTGCTTACACGCACTCATCTCTAGTAACGTTGATGTACCCATCTCATGCCTGTGTGTATATGTGTATGTATATTGTAACTAGCTTGCGGTAAACTTGCTGAACCGGATCTAGATTTGGTTGCAGCTCAAGAATCTTCGCTACATACACACATGCTGGCAGATGTTGGGTGGGTGTGCGCGGGTTGGAGAGGGTAGCGGGTTGCGGGTGAAGAGGTCTACGAATTTAGTTGAAATTAAGTGAAAAGCGTTGACTATGTTGCGCTGTTCGCCGTTGTTATTGCTTTTGCTGCGTTTCACGCCCGTTTGACTAGGCACTTGTTGACACATTTGCCAGATTTTCACCAATTTTCACTTAAACGCTAAGCGCAGGCGACGAAAATTGGCTTTCGGAAGTGCAAGCGGCGGGGTGTAATCCCCTAGGCCCATAGTAAGTACTTATTTTGCAGCTGTAAATTGAATGTTTTTCTTGCTCGTTTGCTTTGCGGTGATTCGCGTTGCTTTGCTTTGTTGCTGCAATCGATTTCTAACCAAACTGAATTAGAGCATAAAGCGTGGGCAAACAGACGAAGAGACAGACAGACAGACAGACAGACGGACGGACGGACAGACAGACAGGCCCACGCATGCTCAATTAAAATAAATCAAATAATGTTGCAGTTTTGTAATTTGCGATTGTATTTTTTTGCAACTGCAACAACAGCGCAACAGCAAATTGTGGGTGAAATAGAGAGGGGAAGAGAGGGAAGATTGTGAAGTGAGCGGCG